TTCCCTTGTGCATGTGAGCTTTCTTAAGACACTGTGCTTTCTTCCCACAATGTAATGCAACACTGCTCAATAAGAAATAAGCCAAATATCCCAAAGCTACAGCCTCCTCAAAAACATCCTGAGGCTCAATTGAGGCTTACCTGGGCAGGATACAACCAGTGGAAAAGGCCTTATTACTGGTGGTGCAGCTGGCATCCAATGAAGGTGTGGTAAACCTTTTTTTATTCACGGTTGGATCATGTTTATGAATTGATGTATTTGCTTACTTTCACTTTGGAGTGAAAATAGGTGGCAGCCCATTGATTAGCAAATGTTATATTTTGCAAGGGTAATGGAAGCGCGAAGTTATAACAGCGCAAGCCAGTGTGACAGGAGTAGCACTTAGAGGTCAGTCACCAAGCAGATGGCGTGCGACTGCAAGAGCAGACCATGGCGGTTGGGTGTCGACTGTGGCATAAGGGGGAAGACCTAAAGCCAGATGGCAGGCGACTGTAAGAGCAAAGCCTCTGTGGTCAAGTATCAATTGCATAACAGTTATGGGACCTGGAATAAGGAAGCGATTGTCAGATGTGATGGGGTGAACAACGTTGGCAATGTCACGGAGGGCACTGCCAGTGATGCCCTTTTGAACTTGAAGCAAGACAGCCTGCTGCTTTTAATTACAAAACAGCATTACACTGGCCTCCTGATTTCTGCAGCAAAGTCAATAATGTTGTAAGCAGGTGTCAATAAATGTGTCGGTTGACACGAAATGCATGACAACAATCATTTTGGGATCACTGTCGCTTTGAAATTAAACGCACAGCTCACAAACAGCGGATGAACCAACGTGGGGTCAGAGGCCAAATGTGAACGCTTGGCGAAACGCGGTTAAACGATTCTGGAAAATCCCTTTCGGTGCAAAAGTAGATGCACGGCATCGCTTCCCGCTTGCAAAATCCACTGTCGAGTAAGCGCCTACAAGGCGATGGGCGAGCGTGTGCATTATCCTGTCCGCACGCAGAACTATCATTCCTGCAACCTACCCCACCGTGAACATTGGTTACAATTAGTTGTAACACATAAAACAAGATTGCAATAAGATGCTAGTGACAAGGTAAATTAATATTACAATTTACTACGATAATGAGCCAAGAATGTCTGTGTCCCGTGCGTGACGTCATTCCATGTCGACCAGCCCCCGTCATTAATAATCATGAACAGGTTACGTCCTCCACATGGACCCCCCCCCCCCCTCATTAATAATCATGAGCAGGTCACGTCACTCCACATCGAACAGCCCCCCTCATTAATAATCATGAACAGGTGACGTTCTCCAAATGGACACCCCCCCTCCATTCATAATAATTAGCGGCTGACGTCACTCCACATGGGGGGCCAAGGCGCCCCCTCCCCCCTCCTCAGCGTCAACTCACAACCCTCACTACAAAGGCAGAACCCTCACGTCACGTGATCTCCATAACGCTATTGAGACATAGAAGTAAAAAGGACGTCACGATGAACAAGGGATTATAACCTTTAAATGCAATAATTCTGTCACCACGCCCTTACAAATTGCACAAGCATTGATGCAATGAATATCACGTTACGGTCTGATTTTCACTTGCAAGTTTCAGATTTACTGCAATACACCCGTCCTTGGAAGGACAAAAAGCTAGTTAAGAAATAATTGTGACTGACAACCCATGACGAAAATCAAAACAAACCTAAAACAGTTACTAAGTTACAAATGCATTCATAAGTGCTGGCCTGAGTTATACCAACGCAACCACTGTCACCATGAAATGCACAATGAGGCTTCCAGCCACGAACTCAGATATTAATGCAAAATAAACGATTACCAATCCTGACATAAACACAAGTAATTGCTCCCGTATTGCCATTGATGAGGGTACGTTGTTTACGGAACAGCGGAACGACATAACTCAAAGTGGCTCCAACGTGGCCGTCGGTAGGCCGGAGCCAACGGTACGCAGTCCACACTGCTGTGGCAGATGAACATTTAGTGGACGTGTCAGCAAACACCGTTCACGCCTTTTTGGACCGTGACCATGCGTGCGTGCGTGCGTGGGTGGGTGCGTGCGTGCGTGGGTGCGTGGGTGGGTGCATGCGTCTTCATCGCTCGTTGTTGGTTCAGTCATCCTCCGCAAAAAAAAAATCACGGATCGCGAGTGGGATTGTAACACGACGGTGAAATGTTAACCGGGAAGAAGATGATCGCCGTTTCAATTTAATCACAGTCACAACAGTAATGAGGCAATTTGGATTTCAACGAACTCTCACCTCACTTACATTCCCAATTACTATATAACCACAACGGCATTTGCAATTGTACAAAAAACTAAATAAAAATCACAGTTACAGCACCTAATAGAATGCGTCCACGCCGGTGGGGTTCAAATGTCGAATCGCTGGCCTTGAGGCAGCCGTGGTCCCCATCCGAGAGGCTATTTTAAATTATATTTGTGTCGTACGAATACACGCACATTCAATCGGCCAGAAGAGCACAGCCCGTGCACATTACGCATGGCTGACGTCTGTTTCATACCCATCGCACAGGAGCACCGTGAAGAGATGAGGAGAGAGAAGGCTGGATGGCTCATGGGGATCGTATAAACTTTCAGCATTGAGATGCCACTGCTGAGGGTCTCGGTTGTGATCCGGGTTATGGCCTCCTGCCCTCAAATGGTTTCATAAGCGTGGCAAGACTGTGTTTTCAGGCACCGCTTACTGTGCAAAATAAACACGGCACATTACACTTGCTTTGCCACTTAAATGGGACATTGTCCAGCTCTGCGCATTCAAATAGACAAACTTTGGCAAGAACCTTTTTGTCAACCTTGGTTCCATTGCACAGAGTTACCCTTTGTCCCATGGCCCTGTGATGACCACCATCAAAGCAACCGGTCGGGTTACCAGAGCAGGTGGTCGGAAATTCCACCCTCTCATCATGCAAGCCAGCATGTAGACAGGAGCGGTATGGCAACCTTCCTCAAAAGTAGCACTCACTCCGTTGACATCAGAGGAACATTCGCTCCCTCCGAGTCGACCCAAGGCTGGGGGATTCGACCTCCCGCCGGCGAGTCGCGAGCTCCAACCACGCCGCCGCCTGGTCAGCGTCAATCGAGGAGAGACGGGCCGTTAGGCGGTTCGGCGCCCCCGGACGCGCGTGGGATCGCGAGACAAATGGCAAAAGTGCGGCGCCCCAGACGCGGCAAAAGTTATCGGAGTCTCATTCCCGCTAATGAGAGTGTGTGTGCGCGCGCCATAAATAACAGCGCTCACTGGGGCAGTCTTCAGCACCGCAATTAGCGGCGCTAATTGGCCTGTTGGTAGCACTTTTGCTTTCTGAAATTGGTGCTGCCAATAATTACCGTCGATTGGATCGCGAAGCAAAGGAGCGGAAGATTTGGATGGGATGTGTGCGACTGGGAGACTCTCTCGGTGGCAGCGTTATCGTTCTTATTAGATGGCTGTCTCGCAGCACTCCCCGCTCCCGTGTCCCTCCGTCTGCCACACTCCCTCCCACACAACGCAACTAACCCAATTATGCACCCAGTGTAAGATAAACAGCGCTGTTTGCGAGTACATATTCAGGCCAGAAGAGCACACGACGGGGGGAGGTGGTGAAGCCAGCGCCAAGTGTATCTGGCTGCCTCGATCTCTCGATGGTGCTTGATGTTTTTATTTAACACCGAGTCAAGAAAAGGCGAGGCTCAGGGCACAGGTTTAAATACAACGTGCTACTGACGTGCATGGCTGGGCTACACGTCCAGGTCTCTGGAATCGTACTGCATGAACGACAGCGTGGGCACACAAAACGCGCGTGCAAATACAAAGACCCCCGTGAAGCCTGAACAGACTGTTAGGGCAAGCGCTGTTAAGCGAGTACCTAGGGGGTGGGTAGCACCATGCTCGGTCGCCTTTGTCTCCCCCGTGGCGATGTTTACTCACTGCACCAAGTACTCATTTGAGGCCGAGTCGACCTAGAGGAGGCCCAGGAACAGTTCAGATAATCGTCACTGGTGTTGGCCGTGAGCGGGAATCAAAATCGGGTCGCCGGGTTCGTAGCGTGCCGCGTGGACACATGCGCACACGCACACAGACAAGCAAAGATTCCCGTATAGCCTTTAACAGACTGTTGGGGCAAGTGCTGTTAGCGAGCACCCATGAAGGCCGGCATGGCACACGAGGGGGTGGGTGGCCAGCACCACAGTGCGTGCACACACACAAGCGCAAAGACACACGCAAACACGCTCGCATGCATGCACACGTATTCTCGCGTACCCAGAAATCCAAGCCTTGAGGAGGACATCTGTCTCTTGCCTTCATCGGGAGACTTCTGGAAGTGCTCACTTTTGCCAAGCGGCTTCTCCATAATTACAGGCGTGCGTAATTACCACCGGATGCATATAAGCTTTTCATTTAAAAGGGGCTTTGTCGTTTTTGGAAATAATAAGAGTGTGCCATTTATATTATGTAGTGCATGTGTATTCCGCTGCACATTATGATATGTACGTGCATTAGACTGTGCATTTGTACTTGCAAAAGACTGTGTTTATGCATTGGACTGTGTGCGAATGTATACACCGCATAACAGCGTGTACACGTGTACTGGCACACATTAGAGGCGCCACTGCCTAAATGGACTCCCGCTTGGTTCTAAAGGACCCTCTGCAGGTGATCCGAGAGGGCAAGGCTGCTGCTGTTGGTAGATAACGTCACTCAGAGTGGGACGGTTGCAAGTTCCACACCCAGTCGGGGGATCAACTCAACCCATCATCTCTCCATTGAGAAGAAAAGGAGTACCGCCTTGTGGGAAGCCAACAGTGATCGTCCCGCATATATATAAAAAAAAATGGGTGCTGCCAAGCGAATGTGGAATTTCCACCGATGGCTCCAAACCCGTTTGCGGAGAGGCGAACACGCCGACCAGAACGCTCCTTTGAGCGTGAAGACGCTTTGACGATCTCTATCTAACTTACCGTCCCGCATGGCAGAGTGGCGTACCGGACCGGGCAGGACACTAACAACTGCGCCACATGTCGCCGCAGCGCCTGCATCATATACAGGTAACGCCAAATTATAGCACGACACGACGCCGCGCGATATCCTTCCCACCCCGCGGCACAGACCGACTGTCGCATTTGCCGCAGTACGCTTTCAGAAGCCAAAGTGTCTCGAGCTCAAACGAGTGCCGGGCGGCGCTCGAATCTGGCGACCGGAGGATACGTCACGTTCTTGTCGTGGAGGTTGGTTGGGGGAGGTGACAGTTTTATGCACAGGATGGCCACCGTTGACCTCTTGACAAGTTGGCACGAAGTTGTATTGGCCCTCACGGAAATGACGATACTCTGAGCCAGTGAGCTTCGAGCGGGATTTGAACTCGCAACTTTCCGACTGCGCGTAGTGTAAACGAACCACAGAGTCATTTCTGATATGAGACAAATCAAGAACCAAGATTAGTTTTAAAAAAAACCCTATTGTAGTAGAAAACACTCGTCAGCTTAATTAGTAACTAGTGAGGCCTTGATAGAGATAACAACACGGGTGCCAACGATTTTGAGGGAGGAGCACAGGACATCGACTAGAGCAGCAGCGGCAGCACACTGGCACACGTCCCAAACTCAAGTTATCTGAGATGGGCACACACAGTCGAGTGACAAGATTAACTATCGCATAGCGACATGTCAAGACACCACACGAGCAACACCGCCCGCACTCAAGCTCGTCGATTTAAACCGCACGACATCATTTCACATTATCAGATAATGAACTGGCTGGGGTGCGATAAAATGACTTCCACTTTGTGGGAAGTCAACACTGGCCTGCCCTTGTCCTACGGGAAAAGACTAGCGCTCGCCATGAGCGTGGGGAATTTCAACCTCCAGCTCAGAGCTGCCAGTGGAGACGACTGCTGGCCCGGCGCTCATCTGCATGCCGGAGGCGACAGCAGCGACGCTGAGAATCCATTCGTGCACACTTTTACCTCTTGTCTCGAAGAATTATCTCCCGATGGGTGACGCGTGGTTGGCGGCAGTCGATGCGCACGAGGAGATGCACTCGAGAGGCAAACGAGGGAGGAGAGACAGCCAGGGACACACACGAGCGCGAATACGCTGGCGCGCACACAAACTCGCAGAGACAGATGTTGGCACGGAAAGGCACTGGGCACCGACAGATGCTGGTGCAAAAAAATGACACGGATATTGGCACAGGCAGAATTAACTGCCATTGAAACACACAGGCACACACACACACATATACACCTGCATTCAAAGCATAAACACATTTTGGCCATCAAAGACAAAGCTCCCCCCGTATAGCCTTAACATACTTTTGGGGCAAGCGCTGTTAGCGAGCAACTCTGAAGCCTATACCTGGCCGTCTTTGTCTCCCTAGTAGCGATGTTAACACCACACCAGGTACTCATTTGGGGCTGAGTCAACCCGGCGACCCGAATTCGATTCCCGCTCATGGCCAACATCAGTGACGAATATCTCAACCGGCTCTGGGACTCCTTGAGGTCGACTCATGCGTAAGAACACACGTTCGTACACACTCGCACACACGCGCACACATTCATACACACTCGCACAAACATGCACACATTCATACACACGCGCACACATTCATACACACTCGCACACACTCGCACACACACGCACACATTCGTACACACTCGCACACACACGCACACACTCGCATACACACGCACACATCCATACACACTCGCACAAACACGCACACATTCATACACACGCGCACACATTCATACACACTTGCACACACACGCAAACACACGCACACATTCATACACACTCGCACACACACGCACACATTCATACACACACGCACACATTCATGCACACTAGCACACGCACACATTCATACACACTCGCACACATTCATACATACTCGCACACACACGCACACATTCATATACACTCGCACACACACGCACACATTCATAAACACTCGCACACATTCATACACACTCGCACACACGCACACATTCATACACACTCGCACACACACGCACACAAAAAACATTCTATTCAAGGACATGATTTCTCCAGACTTGCAAGGTGAAGACAAAGACCCCCCGTATAGCCTTAACAGACTGTTGAAGCAAGTGCTGTTAGTGAGCTGCGCCTAAGAAGGCCGGCACGGTGCACGAGGGGGTGGGTGGCCAGCACCACGCCTAACCGCCTTTGTCTCCCTAGTGGCGATGTTTACTACACACCGCACCAGGTACTCATTTGAGGCCGAGTCGACCTTGGGGAGGCCCGGGACCGGTTCAGACAATCGTCACTGGTGTTCACCATGAGCGGGAATCGAACCCAGGTTGCGCAGTTCGTAGCGCAGCAGCGCGCTAACCGCTACACTACCTCTTCCCAAGCACAGACACGCACGCACACGCACACACACACGACCTCCCTCACACATGCACACAAGGCAAATCATCCCTCGAGCGAACCCATATATGAAGGCACAAGCTTCATCAGTGAGCACCTATTAAGGCTGGGACGTCAGGCTGATTGGGGCTTTACCAATGACACACCAGATGCTCGTTCGCTATCTCAGTGTCCCACTGCTGAGACACAAAGGGAAAGTCCATGCCAAGCACAAACTCTATGCTAATCACTATTGGCGTAACCGAGCTGGAGTAGGATACAGGTAGGTGGCAGTGTTTGTAATTGATTAAGTGCTCCAAATCAGCAGACACACACCCATTGAAAACCACCGCCATTTTCCACCAAGGAGAGGTGACATCTCTACCGCGCTTGTGCCAGGCTAGGTGCACTTGACGGAACTGCCGAGCGTCAAACGCTCGCTCGCAGACACTCACTGAACAGATCGAGATGATTTGTGTTCAGAGACGTCGTTAACTGGCAGACGTATCACCTACACTCCCCAGCGTGCAAAACGGCTCTGCCCTAGCGGTCTGAGGCTCTGCTCTCTCTAGCAAGTGTTGCTCCTCTGCCTACCAATACGAAATGCAGACACTAACACCAAGAATCAGGCTTTTTCCCACCGAGTAAAGCCCATTGAGCTAAGACGCTCTTCCTCAAGGGCGGCTCGGCTGGCAGACATCAAGGCATTCATTCAGACGTACGTACATACGTCCGCGATCACTCACGTGGGATATTCTGCTACAGGCTCTCAGGTCAGTGGATAAACTTATGGTATGAAGCCATCCATATTAATGATGAGATATAGGCAGTGAACACCAAAAGCATAAATGAGCCCTTGTGTTAGGTATAATAAGTACTATCGGGGCCTTTTAAAGCCACATCATCACAAATTGTAAATACTGTATTGAAAGTGTCTGCAAATTGGAATGGCCCTGAGCCAAATGGTAGAGATGCTACATTTCTGTGATGTGGTCAGTCTTTCCACAGAATAACCACGGTTTGCCCACTCACAAAAGTGGTTTTCACTTTATTAACAGAAGACGTTTGATGGGCTGAGTTAACCTCCGACTGGGAGATTGGACCTCGTGAGCTTCCCATTGTGAGCCAAGCCATCAAAAACTGCAGCTTCATTCTGAGCACACGATGGAGGAAGGGCTGTTACGTAATTCTCGAGAGCGTGGTCTTTCGCAGGACACGAGGTCTCACGAAAGTTATTCTAGAGACGGGAGACGTGGGACACGGGGAATGTCCAAATCCCTGCGTCAGCACGGCGGCTCACACGAGGAGCAAAGTGCTCACGGGTTAAGTGTCATCTCGAGCGAGCGGATCGATACCTCCTGAATTTTAACCAGGGAAATATCGAAGGCGTTATAAACTGCAAGGTGAACAAGGGAAATACCAAAGGAGGTGATGTATGCGCCAGGGGGGCTCATCAATCGTGGCCGGGAGCACGGCGAGGGAATGATATCGGAGGTAGTGGGGGGGGGGAGCTGAGGAGGTATGATCAGCAGGACAGCATGCAGACTCTGAGCTCTAAGGGCTTACCGTACATTAAAAAAAACACCATCAATAGGACTTTGTAAATTTGGCTGACAGCAGCACCAATTTTACAGGATTTAACAATCGCTACGAGACAAGCGGCCTGTCTGAGCATGTTTTGTTTTTTTACGTCCGAGTTATCGCCCAAAGTAACATTAATGTCCTATATTTTTTCAAAGAAACGTAACTACACCGCAAGACTATCTAACGAGGGGAGCATTAATTTTGTTCATGAAATTAGTGATGAATATATTTGTCCGTGAAGCTTTTTAAAATATTTTTTTTTAAATTTAATCAGCGGTGACATTGAGTGGATGAAAATCATCAGGCGCAACGATGACTACGACTGCCGCCCACCAACGGGGCCAAGTGCGACTGACTCACGAGACTGAGGAGGAGACTGAAGGAAGACGCAGACCGAGATCATTTAGTAACAGTATTAGAGACTGCCGTACGCCGAGGAAGACCAAAACTGGCAAATGGAGTTCCCCGATTGGGCGCCCTGATAATATTTGAGGGAGGATTGCGCACCCATCACACGAACATCTCGCGGCGTCCACCGGTCCACTCAGTTCATCGTAACGGCGTGCCTCCTAGGGGGAGGGAGCCTCTACCGCAGTAGGCGTGAAAGCTTTCCTGCTTATCGGCGACACGCGTGCGTGCGAGTAGACCCTCGCACGCACGCCTGCATGAGTCGACCCTCGCGCAAGCGTACGGGATCGTCTACACGGGCCGGCACTCCTGGGACTCCCGTTCGCTCCGTGCGGCTCACCTCGCTGACTTACCATGTGGTGTCTCGAGGTGTACGATCTGAAAAGTGCAAACATGGCTTCTCGTGGGCCAAGAATGTTCCTCTCATTGAAGCGGGCGCCTCTCCTACGCTCTCTTTCCTCTGGAACATGAATTTTAATTCCCATTGAAGGTAAAGAGTGAGTGGTCTCCCTGTGCCAGCGAATGCGAGGCATTGCTCATTGTCTATGGTGACCCTGAGCCAGTGATGGAATCGTACGCATTCCCATGGAAGGGCTCAGTCTAGCCTTCATATCGCCACGATGGCCTCCCAACATTAGTTGGATCTCATTTTACCCATCAAACAGCAATAACAATCGGACTTATACATCTCCATTCGCATTGTGACCCAAGTTCAATGATCCAGTAAATGAGCTGTTAAGGCATAAAATATATTGCATGCCATTTGTTGTCATATGTTAAACAAAATTTGAGATGTGAATCCATTCCCGTGGATGTTGAAGTGCCATACCCTTGTTCGCCAGGAGGAGGCGACACAGTAAACTATGGCCTCCATCTGTTCCATCTGTGTGGGAGGGAAGCGTTGCCACTTCACACGCGCGGGCCTCCTCCGGGCGCCCCGGTTCTATCCCACTCATTAATTGGCCGATAACACCTTAATATACAGAGGACCGTAGAGCTTGGGGGGAATTTGGCACCGACTCATTCTGTGTTTCCCCCTCGCCACTCTGCCTCCTGGAGAGTGAGTGAGCAGCGTGCAGTGACTGCGCATAACGAGCTGAAACTATAGGTCCAGCGCTAAAAGTGCAGCATCACCCAGCCGAAGACGTGAAATGTTTATTTTATGAATTAAAATAATAAATCTTGGACCTTTACATGTATGTTCTTCTTTCAAAAGTGTCATATCAGAAAACTTTGGTTTCATAAGGGCCAACTGTAAAACAAGCTAATGTACAGCATGAATATATATTTGTTCCTTCCACTAGGCAGGTGAGAAAGAAAGTCTTAATCTTTTAACGAATTGTCCAATTAATTTTATTTCCCCTGTCCTGCATGTCTTATACAGAGTACTAAAGAGCTGTTAGGCCAAAGATGAAGTACTATTGCTGATATGAAGTGTTATATCACAAAGAGGCAAGTTGTAGGAGAGCGAACCTCATTAAAAATGAAGTTGCTAAATCTGCCTGCCCTTGCCATTCATCTGCATGTTCCCGCTGCTGTAGCCTCGCTCACACATAAGCAGTTCTTTGGGTTGGGTAGCCGAGGTCTGGGAACACGTGCACACACACACACTCACCGCTGAACCAGCTCGCATGGAGTTGAAGGTGATGCATCTCACAGGCATTGCACGTGGTCACACGACGGATATATTCGTGAATCAAATCCCGGTTGGAGGAGGACTCTACAGGGTCGTGAAAATAAGGTTTTGTACCGTGGCGAAAACGTATCTGGACATTCTGCCGCCCACCAATTGCTGAGTTAATCTGAACAATTAGCAACTCCCGTTGGGGCGTGATGCAGAGGCGTCTGTGAAAAAGAGCATCGTAGCTCACCGAATTTCTCCAGGATAAATAATGCCACCTTACTTCCTCCACCCACTACTCATGAGCCTCGCTGTTTTTACATGCATCTTGGAGCAAGCCGCAAAAAAAAATTTTAGCCACCAGCTAAAGTAAAAAAATCATCATATACTTTTTTCTAGTAGGTGGGGGAAGTTAGGTGGCAGGGACGGACACTCAAAACTCTCTGCATGACATCCCGTGGCCCTGGCGGGCGTTGCTAATTGTTCAGATGAATGTGCCGGGTGGACGGCGGCACGGACACGAGTGAGAATTGTTGCCACTTTGTGGGAGGTTAAAAGTGGTCACGTGAAGAGAACGGAGCCCTCACCAATCACGCGCAAGTGCCTCCGAGCGCAGAGACGCTTGCACGAGATTGTGCCACTTCTGATTTTTGAGGCCGTAAAAAAAACCACTGCATTTGAGAACCTGGTTTAATTACAAGTGACCGTCCAGATTTGAGTCCATGATCTCAGCTGTGCTAGGCCAGTGCTGTAACTTCACATTACCCCCCAGAAAAGCGGGAAAAAAACAATCTGCACGGGCCATAAATAAATGTAGTACCGGACATTGTGAAATTAAAGAGGCCAAATAAAGTTACCCCAGAAGTTAGATCCGTGGCATCACCTTTTAGGGTTGATGCTGGACATAATGTGAAGCTCTGCTGATTGAGAAAGACCCAAAAAGAAGTGTATTAATGTCGCGGCACAACTCCCGATTATGAACAGTCACATACATCATGTTAAGCAAAAACAATGAATCACATTATTTTACAGGGGTAAATCATCGGAATCAAGGGCCTACCTATATGCAGTTGACAAGAATACATTTTCAGGACCGACGGCCCATTATTTGCATGCACGCGTGCATTTCGTTCGCCACCTTATTATTCCTTCGCTACATCGTTATGACGTGGCCTCTAACCCTGTCAAACGTTTCGAGAAAAGCCATGAATTTTTTTTGTATTCTGAAGCCACGATTTACAGCCAAAACCCCACATTAAACTGCAATGCAAGCTTGAGAAGAGGAGAAGGCGTGAGCACAGGGGGCACGAGGCAGCGGGGCAGGTGACAAACCGGCCTGAGATTGCAGGGATGGAATTGAGCGTCGCTCTGATAAGGCAAAACCCATCGCGAAATACACTCCGACGTGCACCAAAGATGACACACTCCTCGTTCGGCGTCTGCACGTGCGCAAGACGCGGCGACACAACCACTGCAGCCCATAATGAACGCACGATGTCTGGGCTAGTCGCAATGAGTGGGGGAGGAAATGACGTTTGGTATACCTCCGAAAGCTCCTGTTACAAAGGGTTTCTTAAATAAATCGACATGATTGGCATGGAATCAGACAAACTCAAATGAAACAGCAACCAGACCGAGAATGTAATCCTGACTGCCAAAGAATATAAAGCAATAAAAGTGGGGAACATATTTTTTAAATGTTGCCGACAAATGGCTTATAAGCCTATTTTTGTGTTCAAACTCGTGCAGGATCTCATGTAAGATCACAGGTACAATTTTAGTTTGAGATTACACACAGGCTATTTCATTGCCCCAATAAGGCTGAAGTTGAGATGCCAGTCGAACATAAGAGCAGCTGTCGTCACAGTGCAGGTACCCCTCGCTCTTTGCGAGTTCGGTTCATGCAATTTTGCGTAAATGCAGCTATAACCGATTTCTAACTCAAACTTTGCTAATCGTGCGGTTTGAATTAACTCGACATGCGTCTATGCGGTCGGACGTGGGACATAGTGTGTGATGTGTGTACTGTGTGTGTGTACCGTGTGTGTGCCGTGTGTGTGTGTACTGTGTGTGTGTGCTGTGTGTGTGCTGTGTGTGTGCTGTGTACTCTGTGCTGTGTATGTACTGTGTGTGTACCGTGTGTGTGCTGTGTGTGTGTGTACTGTGTGTGTGTGCTGTGTGTACTGTGTGTGTGATGTGTGTACTGTGTGTGTGCTGTGTGTGTGCCGTGTGTGTGCCGTGTGTGTACTGTGTGTGTGTGTGTGCTGTGTGCAATGTTTGTGTGATGTGTGTACTGTGTGTGTGCCGTGTGTGTGTACTGCGTGTGTGTGTGCTGTGTGTTCTGTGTGTACTGTGTGTGTGTACTGTGTGTGTGCCGTGTGTGTGTACTGCGTGTGTGTGTGCTGTGTGTTCTGTGTGTACTGTGTGTGTGTACTGCGTGTGTGCTGTGTGTGTGCTGTGTATGTACTGTGTGTGTGTACCGTGTGTGTGCCGTGTGTGTGTACTGTGTGTGTGTGCTGTGTGTACTGTGTGTGTGATGTGTGTACTGTGTGTGTGCCGTGTCTGTGTTGTGTCTGCTATTGGTCGCGAAAGCCTACGTGTTAAACTTGTGTCTGCTACTCGGCAGGCACCTATCTCGTACGGTTCGCTTTGTGCGCAACCGCACGTCTACAGCGTGAAAGCGAACCTCAACTCGACCGCCCATCGGAAGGCTGCAACGTTCAAATCCCAGCCGGGGTTGAATCTGCCCATCGTTCCTGCATAGCCGATAAAATGAATTGCACCACTTTGTAGAAAGTCACCGGTGGTTGTCCTGGGAACTGGCCTCAGAATGGTGATGTAGAATTTCCATCACTGGATCATGGCAATCCAACGGAGATGAACACTGGCCCATGCCCATTCGAGCATGGGAAGACTTGAGAGAAGAGATTTGTGTGTGTATATATATAACACGTCATGCTTGTCTACAGTCTCAAAGCAGTATGGATAATTGAGCAAGACATGCCTCTGAAAAATTTCAAGGGTCTCTATGATCTCACTTCTAAGCTGCTGCCCAAGTGAAGGGTGTTGAAAGGCTTCCAGAATGAAAGGAAAATAACACTTCACTCAGTACCAAAACAATAGCATCGCAATCGGGTATAATTGGTGAAAAACTGCAAGCAATAAAACTGAAAGGCACTTGATATGGGCAGTGCATCATTCACCTCCCAAAACTGGAAGCGAAGGCTCACAATCGTGGATTTACAACCGCTATATTCAATTGCAGAGTGGCGTCGACTGCCAAGAGATAGACATAAGGATGGATTCCGTTCCGTGCCGTTCCTCTCGGATTTGCTCAGGCGCTCCGTAAATCAGACGCCGGCGCACAATGCACGCTCGCTTGGCATGGTGGTGGTGGTGGTCTTCGACGAGCAAATGAATCACTCACCACCCTTACTTAGAACCAGGTGAGCACGGCCGGGAACGCGAGGTCACTCCTCTCCCACACGTGACTGTGGGTCGACGTTAGAGGAGTGCGAGAGAGAGCAGACGGGATTTAACAACAAATTATATAACTGACTTAATTAGAGGGCACACACCGAACGGGGTGCGGGGAGCAGAGGGCCTTGTGCAGTTGCCACTGAGCAAGACGTTCCAATTTCGTTGCCGATCGGCATCGCTGCATGTTATAACCAACGTTCCCCGTCAGCTGTGAAGTGCACATTAAGCGCCGGGTAAAATTGTACCAGAGACCCTTTGACATCATTTGCACGATCAGCTCAACCTATGCTGATGTCATGAACCCTAATCAAGGATGTGGAAACGATGCTCAACCAACTAAATTAATTGAATTCAAAGCTCCAGCCAAATGATATATCATTAAGTCGGAGTGTCACCACGCTCCAAGTAAGCAATGGGGCCCGCGTGATTATCGCTGATTGCAGAGCAGTGCGGTAAATTGCACATTGCTATGGCAGGGGTCAGTCTCTGCACTGGGCAAACACTTCTGTCTCCCCATCAAGCGGCACTAGTGCCGTCAACCTCGCGGGGATGTCACAGTGGGCTGACCACCCCCCCCCCCCCCCCCCCGACGAGGGCGAACCTACGAACTTGTGCGAGGGAGTAACGCACAGCTACACCTCGCAGGATCTCGCTGTTGCTGTAGCTGTGCAGGAGTTAATTTAACATCAACAACATTGCACAAAAAATACATTATTCAAGAGCCGTGAATGGTACATTAAACCAAAGCAAGGGGAAATAATGGGGGAAATAATATGTGCACAACAGGAAACAAACATCACCATTTCGCAAGTAATAACAATGATAATTTTCCTTTTTAAAACAGTGCGGCTATATTTACACATCCGCGCATCTTTATCGTCAGGATGTCAATGCAGCTGCAAGCATTCACACAATGACTGTTGACAGATTCATCCGACAGACGTGTCACTTTGGGCTGTAATTGAATCCAGCAACGGTTTCCGTCGTGAGATTGCATATTGAAAATGACGGTGCGCCAATGCACAGCTCCACTCTACGTTGTACATGACAGGGTGAGACAACTTAATGAAATGACATATGAGCTAGACAGGCCGGAAGATCAGCGTGTGTGCTGTGTGAGCACGTACGTGTGTCTGTGTGTGTGTGTGTACGCATAGGCCGTGGTGGTGGGTGCGGTGGTTAGCGCCCTGCACTGCAAATCTGGCGACCTGAGTTCAATTCTTGCTCACAACCAGTAACAGTGGCAAAGATCTAAACCGGTCTGGGGCCTCCCGAATGTCGACTCAGCCTTAAATGAGCACCTGGTGCAGTGTGTAAACATGAGCAGTGCGATGACAAAAGGCGGCCAGGGTCTTGTGACAGAAATTTTACCAGATAATTACGTGGCCTACCCCAG